CTGTTACGTTATCACTTTGTGACGGCATGATAGTCTTACGGTTGTGGGATTGAATGAAAGCTAAGTCTTCTGCTAAGGTTTACTTCAACACCGAAAGAGAGAGCAACCTGCTCGAGCCGAAGACCAGAAGCTAGAGAGCGATAGGAGAAGCGGGTGCTTCCTCTTACAGGGAAATAAGGCAAGAGACATAAAAGTTACGCTAGAATCCGACAACTCGCAGTACATGTTGCAGATAGGTGAAACGTTTATTCTAACAGCACAATTGTGCATTTTTTCTATAAAGAGAAAATGCCCTAAAAAGTCAGCTTTGACACTGGCACATGACACCATCACCACGATTATCACAGACTGTAACTTGTTGACCAGATAATGATAGGGTACTCTGTACTCCTGTCTCCCGGTACAGTTGGTAAAGTCCAGGTAGGGTGACTTCCAGGTTTCATCGTCCTGAGAGAATCCACATTCCACAAAATGTATTTGAATCCACAAATGTATTTATTTTATTCTTGCTTGATTCTTCTTCACTATTCAAGCCTGGAAAGGAGATGACATTACAATCCCATCAACCAGTCACTGCTGGTGAAGGGTATGACATCACAATCTGGGATGTATGCATGATGCCAGAGGCCAGCATTACCCAATACCAGCAATTCTTTCATACTCCTGAGTTCTTTCCATGTACAAGCCTGCTACAGGCAGTACAGGGCAGATTAGCTCAAAGGGATTATTTACTATCAGCAATAAGTACAAATTCCTGGCTTCAGGGCTGATTTGAGAGTTAATTTGCTGGTCTATGGCTGCGCACCTCACAATGCCACAAACCAATCATAGCTGGAAAAGGATAACATTAACAGATATGAATATAATGGATTAAAAATGGAAAGCTCCTGGCTTTCAGCCTTTCAGGTCCTGCTTTCCAATATGCTATGTCATGTGTAGTGGTTAACTTATGATCCCTATAGAATTCAAAACTGCATTCAGGAGTTCAGTCCTACCTAAAATGGCTAGATGTTTGTTTTCCTCTTTAAGTCTGAGTGCTTTTGGTCTTGTTTTGCTGCAACACCTGGTGAGCCAACCGTGAGCATGAGCTGGTGTGCTCACTGCTCCCAGTGTTCAACACAGGAAGAGGGAGCATTGAGGCAACATCATGTTGTCTAACTCAGACTTACTCAGTCATCTCCTCACATGACAAATCATCTAAGAATGATGAAGTCTGGGCTTGGGCCACTGGGGGAGGCCAATAACTTGCAATAAGGCTGTACATCATCAAGGGCCCTATGATGCCTTTATCACCAATAATCAATATGAATATTTGTGGCCCATTTGGCTTAATTCCACCCTTTAGTTTTCCCTGCTAAAGCACTGCACCCAGAAGAGGGGGCACAATTGTTTATTGTGCTCCCTTTATTATGTGTATATATAAATCATATATTGATAAGATTACACTGATTTAATTTGTGAACACACAAATTAAATTTTCATCTCATAATCAGTGCCTATCTAAAAAAACTACCTATAACCTACTGTGGGACTGAGGGAGAAATATTTAAAAATTGAAAAAATGCTGACTACNATAAAACTATCGTCTGCCGGCGGAACGCAGCCTTGATCAACAAATTTTACTATTAAATAAGCCATGGAGCCAACAATCAGCCTCACAATGCAATAACTTTACTCAGCCTCAGCCCTCAGAGATAGAAGCCACAGTTTATGCCGGACTAGGCTGGAACACCGCAATCTGCACCAGTGATACACTGCTTAAAAATATTAGCACTGTAGGTCTTCAGCAGTCAGCCTAAACTTCAGCATGCTTGCTCATAACTTCATAACTATAAGTATAAGGACATAAGCAGGCAGTTCTGCATCTGGCCTCACCTACTATGGCTCAACATCTTCTGGCTCAAGCCTCAACCTATTCCTATTCACGCTGCATTGACTACTCACAACCTTCTTGATCTTACAACTTGCATAGTGGCAAAGCCGAGAGTTTTTTAGACTCTCCTTCAAGTTCAATTTTGAGTCCTAAAAGTAGGACAGCAAAGTATCATGGATGACAGGAATCTAGGATTGTCATACCTATTGTTTTTCTTGCCTCCTTCCATGCAAATGTTTGAGGGGCCAGAACTGGTAGGCAAACAAACAGCTGATG